TGGTGTGGTTTGCTCCTTCGTTCCTATCAAACATCGATCGTCCTGATCTCTCCTTCTTTTCTGTGTTTGTTACTGTCTTGTAACACCTCTAATCTTCGGCACTTATGTGAGCTTATTGTGTTGAAAGTGTCGTAAAACTCTTACGAAAACTAAACAACAGCAATAAGAACAACAACAAACAAATATACGTGAAGAAAATAGTACAAAAACTGCTGCACTGAGGTGGTTCCCGGGTGTAGGCTGTGGGTACCGTCGTATCATATATATAAGAACGTGTTATACGCATCGATAGGTTTCTTTAACGTTGAAAAAGACGATCCTCAACCAAAAAGCTTATAGGACAGTTATACCTGTGTGTGTGTGTGCAAATTGTGTATGGTTCGGTTCTTTTCCAGATGTGTGACAATAATATTATTGTGAACGCATTATTTGTTGTGACTGCGTTGTAGAGGCGTGTTTGTGACGCTGTTAGTATTGTAACTAGGCGCTTGTTGTGACACGTTTTAGTATTATAAAGGCGCCTGTTGTGACAGTATCTGGAAACGTGTTTGCGATACAAAACTATTGTGGTGTGCGGAGATTCCCGGATTGAGTTACTGAGTAGACAGTGAGGAACAGCAAACAGTGGACGCTCAGCGGGTTGCTGCTGGTCAAAGGGAGTAACATTCTGCTGGATATCTGTACAGAGTACATGATTTGTATATACATACATCCTCTACATAGATTTTTGAGTGAGTGGGTGAGCACTTGAAGTTCCCTTCTGCTGCTCCCCGCCCTGTGCCTTTCTCCATGTGTGTGTGAGCTGGCCGGTGGAAGCTTGCACTCTTGTCCCCTTGCACGTGTCTGTGTGAGGTGACTGTACAAGGAGGAAGTACCCTCTCGAGGTCAGCGACTGTTGGAAGTTACCAGTTGGGAGTTGTCGACCTAGTAGGAAGTGACGAGTTGGGAGTTATCTGTAACGAGTAGGAAGTTACCAGTTTGGAGTTGTCTGTCACGAGTTAGACGTGACGAGCTGGGAGTTGTCTATAACGAGTAGGAAGTGACAAATTGGGAATTGCCTGTGACGAGTTGGAAGTGACCAGTGTGTGAGGTCGCCTATTCTGTCGTCTGTTCCGAGAAGTGAGTGACCGCCGCTGTGGGCTGACTGACCATGATCGGCCGGTTGTGTGGTGGGTGAGCGGTGGGGAGTGACTGTCTTTGCTCACTCGGCCCGCCCTGCCCCGCCCCCTCCCGCACGGGGATTCTACCACCTGAGATCAACACACACACACACACACACACACACACACACACACAGTTCACTGTATAGAACGACGAGAAGACTCGTCAGACCTGACAAACCAACAGCCCCAGCGTCGTCATGTTGGGCCGACTCAAAACGGTGAGTGCACACACAGGGCAGAATTTGGCGGACACATGAAATTGGCTCTCATAGCTTGAGTGTGTCTCAGGATTCATTGAGAGGGGGGAGGGGAA